GGGGGCTGTGGCTGATATGAAGCACAACCGCACACCATCAGTGCGAACAGTTGAGACGATAGCCGCCATAAGCTCAGCGATTCAGCAAAGCCCAAAGAAGTCCATTTGTCCCATGTTGAGTCAGACATCTGTGAGTGCAACAACTGTTCACCGCATACTCCACCAAGATCTGAACTTTTTTGTTGTTCAGATTGTGCATTTGTTGCACTCACACCTGTCTTGCTCGAATGGGTTTCTTTGGGCTTTGTTGAATCGCTGAGCTTATGGCGGTTATCGTATCCACTATTCGCACTGATAGTGTGCTGTTGTGCCTCTTAATCAGCCATAGCCCCCCCCCCCCTTCCCTAAATTCGGCAATGTACTGCAGATGAGTGGATTTACTGGAAGTCTTGTATTTGAAATTCCCTTCTGCAAATTCTCTGTGCAGTCTCTAGTGAGTGCCTTACCAGTTCCACTATCCTTGTGTACAGTGTTCTAGGCTCCAGAGATCCATGGACAATAACTTAGCAGAATTTCATCTTAAATCTGAGATGAAAATTGAAATTTAGTTTTCCTTCAACATTCTCATGATCCCAAGATAAATGGAACATCCTGTACTTCATCTTGCCGTCGCTGTCTCCTACGCCTGCTAAACCGTCCCTTTCTGCGGCATCTTGCACCCAGAAACCGTCGTCCGGAAAATGTTAAGTAAAATTAATTCGCCCCCCTTCACTTAGTGACAAGGAGGGTTACCTAAAATGTAATTATTCAAACTGGTTTGAATAATTTTTGAATTGAATCCACCAGTTTGATTAATTAAGTTTTACACGTTTCAGCTAAAACAAACATTCTTGTTTGATGGAAAAGCTTATGCGAAATCGGTGTGGGACCACATACCTAGGAGCCTATGAAGCGAACAAAAAACTGATTAGCTTGTGAACAGTTTCAATGCAATACTCATTAGTGAAAACTCCCTTTGTTTTATTACAAAATAAGGAATTTGGAAAACTGACCTGGACTGCCATTCTCCAGCGTCTTAGATCTTTTAAACCCATGAACTTGAATAAGGGTGTTTCCATTTGCTCTGTGAATTTGTGATGCAGGTGAATGCAGCCTACTTCAAGGGGCAATGGTTAAACCCATTTGAGGCGAACGAGACCAAGAATGCAGCCTTCATCCTGGAGACTAGCAAACGGGACATCATCCCAGTTCCCACTATGCATCAATATGACTCTTACTTTCCCATTGGTCAGTATAAATATTCAAATTTCTCTGATAACGTAACTATAACTGCTTCACTTGATAAATCATGTCAATGTATAAAAGAATCTGATCCTTAAACACAAGTGTGAAACAATTTTTTTGTCCTATTGGCAGGGGTGTCAGAGGAACTGATGGCGTCTGTGATCGAGCTGCCATATGCAGGAGGAGATGGGAATGAGTTGGCCATGTTCATCGTGCTCCCAAAGCAAACGGATAATTATACACTTGACGAAATGCTTCAACGTCTGACCCCAGAGAACCTCAAGGAAGCCAAGGATCTTGTCTTCCGCAAACAAGTCGCCTTACTCTCCCTCCCCAAATTCAAACTCCAAAAGGAATTCAATCTTGTGCCTGTGAGTCATCACACTGTAAATGAGTATATATTCACCTTGATGAATTGTTATCATGGGAGGGCTAGTTTTATAGTCCATCTAAAATTGTCACTTTTTAAAGTGGAAGTGAAAGATGAAGTTTTTTGCACTTATGCAACCATTCCAATCTTTGAAAATAGGTGCAAAATTCTTGAAAGTTCTTATCTGCACAGCTCACTTGAAAGTAGTCCCCTTGACTGACTATGGTTGTCTTGTGCCTTTATGGGAAGCATCACAAGCAGCAAATGAATGTTCTTATTCTCAGTTGAAGAAAAAATAGTGTTGTATAAAAAGTGCTTGCAAAGAAACAGTAACTGGGCTAGTGTTGAGTAGTAGTGAGATAGCTTTAGTAGAGTTAAGGCAATTTTTTTTCCTCGCTATTATAGATTATAAACTGCTTTTAAAAAGGTGTATGAAACAACTTGGTTTGGAATCATTGAATCCAATTTCTTGTTTCATCCAAAATGTCAGGTCCTGTCTGAGATGGGGTTGAAGTCTCTGTTTGACCCACTGCAGGCCAACTTTTCTTGTCTGACACCAATTCTCAAGACATCTCTGTCCAGTGCTGACCATAAAGCAGTGATTGAGGTAAATGAGGAAGGGACAGAAGCAGCAGCAGCAACAGCATTCCTTGCCTTCCGCTCTGGACGCTTGGACCCCATTGAGCTCCGTATCTCCCATCCATTTTTCTACTTCATCTACCACCATGACACTGACAGCATTCTCTTTATGGGTGTTGTCCGTAACCCCCTCAGCGACTGAATATGGTTGTGATTGACAGTGCATGTGCCATGACAATATGCTTGCTTGGAGCTGTTTTTCTTATGTGGAAGCTAGTCCCCTTGTATATACTTTTTTTTTAAATCAAGCATATAACTTGACTAAGAGGTGAATGAAGTACAAAATAGAGACAAACCTTTTAGTCTCAATCATTGACACATTATACACTGTCAAGCCATTTTTCAAATTAGTGAAGGAAACTTGCTCAACAGTACAAAACTGAGAAAAAAGGACATTGGAATCCTAAGGAAAAAGCATTCTCAAGCAATATTCATAGGAAGAGTATAGCCTAAAGGCCCAAACTTCAGAAATCTTGCCTCAAAAATTTGGTAGAAAATGCAGATATTCAAATTTTAAATCACATGGCAGACTAGAAGATCTGATACTCTGGAAACAGATCTAACACAATTCACTGATGCAGCAGCAAAATTGGTGAAAAATCTACAAGGGAAGAATTTCACCAGTAAAAAAAGCTTCATTGGAAGAGTCAAGGCCATGTTACTTGCGGTGGGATACTGTGTCAGGGAGGAAGAGGTGAGGGGTGACATCAACGGTGAAGAGCTGCAGGCCCAAAAATCCTCCATAACCTGGCCGCCCCTTGTGATACAGCCCAATCCCATCGATCCAAGTTGATCCTCTACATATAAAAATGCTTGCATCAGGTATCTAATCCTTTGGAGAAGTAAGATCTTAGCTTGCATTCACTCAAGAAAGAAGTAAGCAGTCATCAATCCAATTAACTTCGCCACGTCAATAGATCTTTGACATTTCTATTTGGGATTGGGATAAATATCTGAGCTGCAACAGCCAACATAGTCCTAGATAAAGGCTTGCTGAAGAATAGCAGGGCAAAATAGCTCATACTTGGCAAGGCATGAAGGGGAAGGAACATAGGAAAAGGGAGACAACAAATTATTTTTCATAGTTCAAAAATAGAATTTTTAATTTATTATGAATTAGTATGCATATCTGAATTTTGAATATTCACTTCATTTTTCTCTGAAACATTCAAGAAAACCATGTTATCTAAATCGCAGGCATGTGTTCTAGGCAAAATATAGATTTATTTCTTGGTAAAGCTAGATCATATGCAAGCCAGTATCTGTGCAACAAACTGAACCATCAGAGGCTGCTGGAGTTTGAAAGGAGAACTGAAAACTCAACTTTCTTTGCAATTAAAGTCTCTGACTTTACCAGAGATATTTTAATGTTTCTGGCAGGTGGATTGGGGTCACTACTAAACCCAGAAATCTCTATTATTTAGAAAAAAAAAAAAGAAGAAAAAAGGCACAGATGGGTAGGGTTTGAACCTTTCTAGCCTATTTGTTTACTTCAGAAATATTTCCTTTATGGAGTTTCATTGCTATAAATTGGAGCACTTTTCTTTCCTGGTCATTGGTCCCAATGGCCAAAGTTGTAACCTCTCTCTGATGGACTTCTTTGTGTCCTCTCATTTGGAACCAATCACCAGCATGGCATACCTGTGCCTTTCTCCACTCCAGTTTAGGCATTCTTCATCATAATCTTGTCATCTTTCTAATAAGCAGGTATCCTTCCATTAATGTAGTCTCAGCATCTTTTTCATTCGTAATCTTTCTTAATTATTGTCCTTTATTGCATTTTGGAGACATTCCTCATTGTAGTCTCACCACATTTTGATCTAGTGTTTCCTCGTCATTGTAATCTAAGCATTTTGCTCATTTTGTAAATTCAAAAAATTCTCGTCATCAATGACTTGGTGGGGAGTTTTTACAATCTTCAATCATTGACTTCATTTCATCATGATCTGGATTCTGGCACTTACAAAAAATACTTCAATTTGAATAAATGACTGGGCCAAAAAAAACCAAAGCTGTCATTTTTGGTGAGTCATCAATCTCATTGTAGGCTGCTGATTTTGATTAAATTTGATAAGCCTATAGGGTGACTCAATTGGAGATTTTATGCAGAATTTCAGCCTTCTGGCTCTAAAATTATAGGAGCTGTAATTATTTTCTGATGACCCATGACAAAATGTCCTGTTGAAAATATTGATATGAACTAGGGGATGGGAGGAAGGAATTAATGAACTTCCATCCCTGCATGATGCTATAGAGGAAGATTGTGGAGCACTGCCTCAAAGATTTATTGACCAAGCCCAGTGGCATCCCAGGCTATAGGCTCGTGTTCAACAGAATGGAGGGCATATTGAACACCTTTTCAATTAAAATGAACTCACCTAAACCAAACTGTGTGATTTTATTTTTTGACATTCATGCATTTTATTGTTGTTCTGTTTGTTTCATCACTTGTAAGAAATTGTAAGTTGAAAGAAAAAATGGACACACTTCTTTTGGTGATGAAAAGTGAATTAAATGCCATTCTCACTGTTTTTTTTAAATTTTGATTTGAAACTCAGCAAACAAACCCCAATTGAGTCACCCTAAGTGCCTACCAAATTTCATCAGAATTGGCAGCTTACAATCAAATTGACAACTCACCAAAGATGACAGCTTTGTTTTTTTTTTGGCCCACCCTGTATATCTTCTTGCTCCTATTAATGAGGGTATTCTTGCACTAAGGATCTCTGTCTGGACTCATGTTGCTGGAGACAATTGGATGACCACAGTTCAAGTTTTGATTGAAATTGCTTTAATCTGACTCAATAAGAATGCCCACAATTCTCTAAGACTTATTCAGATGTTTGTTTCATTAGATACAACATTGGATTCCTGAGATCATTATATTTTTCCACCAACAGCATTCAGCAAACACCCTCTTGTTGAGTCAGAGGCTCTGTGTTAACCCCCTGGAGGTATGTGTGTCTATAGCTACATCCCTGACCTACCCCATGGTACTTTGAGCAGGAAAACCACTTGGGGGATTATGTAGTAAGCATATGCACATCATCAGTAATCTTAAGTGCTCGG